GGGGGCGCACAGGAGCTCAGAGCCAGGATACCTGGGTTCTGACCCTGCCTCTGGGAGGGGAGAAGGGTCTTGTGGCTTCGAGTGGGTGAAGGAGGCAGGACTCCTGGGTTCTGTCCCAGAGCGGGAGGTGGGGGGGGTGTCAAGGGGCTGAGAGCCAGGGCTCCTCAGTTCTCTTTCCAGCCCCACAAGCAAGCTGCAACCTGCCCCCATTGCAGGGAAGCTTCGGGCAGCCTGGCGAGAGGAAGGAGAAGTTGGCCGGATGCTGGTGTTGAGGTTTCTGAGACAGCATCTTTGCTCTCCGGACGCCAGCACCCACTTCTGCTTTCGGGTTCCTGTGCATTCTGCTTTACCAGACTCCAAGGCGTCTGACTCTGAGGAGCCCGGCTGCAGGGTCACAGGCCAGGGCTGGGCCCCTCGCTGCAGCGACAGGGGTGAGTGGGTCTGCAGAGACTGGGTGCCCCTCAATCCCGACCCGCAGCCCCCTCCGAGCCCAGATCCCTACAGCTCTGCCAGGGCCCCTCCAGCCTGAGCCAGGCCCAGACTTGAGGTGTTGGGTCAGGGGCCGAGGAGGGCAGGGAACTCCCCAGGTTTCCTCTCCAATGGGGGTGGCACTTCCGCAGGGGGTAGGTTTGGGAGGGGCAGGCACTGGTTGGGGGCTGGTTCATGGGCTATGGGGGATCTGGGCTGAGGACCACCTAGCTACTGCCAAGGCATGTCACAGTTGCCCCCTCCCCTGGTGGGGGGGGGTGTCTGGGGGAACGGGAGCGAAGCAGGCCCTGAGCAACATTGCCAGCCCACCAACTTCCTGCATCACTTCCGGGTCCCGCCGAGATCGTGAGTCAGAGAAAGTCTCCGGAGTTTCACCATCTGAAGGATTTTTTTTATAGCCCATGATACTGCACTGCCAGCAGTCCCAGAACAGCCCCAAGGCAGAGCTGTGCCCCCAAACAGCCTCTGCTCTCACACTGCCCTCCCCCACCCCGTCTGTCCCTAGGTCCAGGACAGCTCCACGCCCAAGCACAGCAGGACACCAGGGACCGGGAGCTGACAGCTCAGGGGCGCCCCCAGAGAGCAGGGAGTCCCCCCCTCCCCCCATGGCCATGCTAAGGGCCCTGATCCTCGCTATGCTCTGGAATGGTAAGTAAGTAGCACCTGAAGCCCCAGCCAGGGGGAGGGGCAGAACCTCCAGCTGGAAGGAAGGTGGGCAGGGGGGTTTAGTGAATGGATGGAAATGGAGTGAGATTGGGTTGGGGACCTGGGGCCGGGCTGGAAGGGGATGCAGGGCAGGAGTGAGGGGCACCGGCAGGGCTCGAGGGACAAGACTCTGTTCCCCAGGGCGGTGGTTCCCGATCGTTTTGATACCGGGCACCAGCAAACCCATTCACAAACTTTTGGCACGCTGATAACGTTCTATTTGCATATTTTATTATTCATTATTTGCACAATGAGCATGCAAATATGCGAATAGCCCCCCAGAGATGTGTGAATGGGTTTGCCAGTCCCGGTATGAAGAAGGCTGGAACCGCTGAGCTAACGTCCGGGGAGCTCACCGGGTGAGGAATTCGAGCGGCGCACCCCAGGGCCGGCCTGGGCCTCCACACTGAGGCTGGTGCGGTGAGAGGGGCCTGTCTGCTATCTGGGTGGAGACAGCGGCGTACAGACCCCAGCTGCGTCGGGGTTTGTACCCTGCTTCCGG